ACACCTTCCGTACTTACTACGGGGCGAAGCAGGTCTTGATTTTGGTGAGTGTTATAGCAGTACGTGCTAATGAGACTGTGGGTGTGTGCCCACAGGTATTGTAGACCACCACACAACCACGGCTGTTGTGGTACGTCCACTAGCACGGGCAGTTGTTTTCGTCGTGGCATTACCGCCGCTGTTGTGGTTATGCCCAACGTGGGCTGGTGTTGAGAGTATTCTTCAATACTGGCATGTTTGTGAAGGACGGGTTGGTGGACGCAGCAGAGGGCTGGTTTGACACATCCTTGGCGAAGAGAAACCCGGATCATATTGTTCTGCGTGGTGGCGTGACTGTAGCGCCCAGGTTGGGCTGAACGAATCGGATTAGCGTGTTTATTGGCACAGGCCGTGGACATGACGGCAGCGTAGGTTTGGAGGAGTTCCTTCGACGTCGTAGTTCTTCATGTGACGTAAATAGGAAACGACTTGAACAGCAGTGTATGACGGTGGAAGTGGGGATGGTGAGAGTTGATGATCTGAGGGTGGTGCTTGCAAACGTCCAAACAATACGGTTGTGTGACGCAGGCTCGATGTGGGAGAGAGTTTGGAGGGTACGTTGTTGGATAACGGCTCTTTTGGGATGTGGAAGTGGGTGTAAGTGCAACATTGGAGCACATAGGCTCTTTTGTCCAAGTGAGGTACCGGTGCTCAAAAGGACTGGTCAAGGTTCACATGGTCTCAGTGCAATTGGTCCATGCGGGGTCTTGGTAGCCTTGATGGGATGGAGACTGGAGTAGTAAGGCTCCCACCGGAGGTAGGGTAGGAGAGGGAAACACAGAAGTGTGGTAGTGCTATCCATGTGTCTTCGGTGATATTCCTAGCGACAGAGCTCGTCGTCCATTACAAGGTGGTACCATGGCATGAATTGGAGGTGCGTGATGACGTGGGTGACGTGGGTGCGGCCGTTGCACGGCATGGCAATCATGGGTATTTCACGATGGTGGGATGTACGGGGAGAGAAGTGAACGCCACGCTTGCTGGTGAAACTTTTGCTTCCGTTGTGCTCAAAACTCTCTCGGGGCGCCATGACCTACTTGTGGGTTACCAGGAATATTTGGGAATCACTATGGTCACAACGAGTCAGGACTAGGTGGCATCCAGGGTAATCTTGGAAGGTCCTGCACCACCACCACAGGCATACCCGTTCGCAGCTCCTGGCTTCACGTACTCACCGCACTTCTTCCCTTCATTCCATCGTTCCAAGCTTCGTGGAGAAATTGACCATTGCGGTATGATCAGGCATGACATATGTTATGAGTTTCACAGTGTACTTTCGGTACTGTAATTACGTCGAGAAAGCAGCGATGCATTTAATCAACACCCACTTGAATTATCGAAGATTACGTCGAATAGCCTTACTGCCTGAGCGTGTACAGTAGTCGCCGGAGCTGCTTGTGTGGTTGCGTGCGTATTCGTGTTGTCGTGGTGTAGTTGGACACGGCAAGTGACTTGCTACTAAAACGCGGGCCGTGGTGAGTTGAGAAGGCTGTACTGTAGTTTTGAACAACGAAGCAGACCAATGCAAGACAACAACGTTTACTAATGGGTGATTAGTTGAAGAGACGTTCGTTAAGCACACTTACAGTAAATTACTTTGAATTCTGCCATCTTCGAGCAACATACGTATCACAAAACCCGCCGTAGGCAACTCAGCTGCAGTGTAGTCGCAGGAGCAGCCGGCGTGGCAACAGGCGTACCTATGTTTTCTCCGGTCGGACCTTCTAAACTGGAGCGATATGGAGAATGCATCGACTGAAACGACACAACCAAATGTACAGAAGAATAGGCAGAAGGACTTAGCTACCAGTTTGCAGGAAACCATCATTATCGTCAAATTACACTACGTCAAGTGACCTCAATTAGTGTGATACGGTTCACCGCAGGACAACTTTTGATACACAAAATTCACTACAAAGAATCGATCGATAGTTTTGGTGAATCAGCACAAAAGTATAAATTTTGGGTAAAAGTTATGGTTTGGAACATACGGTCCTGTACGAGTATCGGCCAATAGTGATTTCGCTACATGATATTTCCTGAAAAGTTTCAAACATATGTATGGTTCCGGTTGGGCGTGTACCTAGTTGCCTCTAATTGGGCAGAAATACCCAATCACCAGGGTTTAAAATTTTTCATTCCAATGAAATAGAAGTTCTGTTTTGAATATAGACCAATGCGCATGCCTGAATAGTTTTCAAGGTAACGGCTTGAACCCGATTTCACTGACATGTTTTTCATAGGTACTGAAGCGGGGGGAGGGTATACATACGGTAGTATTGTCGATGTTGTCACAGCCAATTCCCCAATTTCCATGGTTCCTCCAACCGACCACAAACAACTGAGCGGAGACTTCGGATTGGCTAAGGGCGGGTCTGGATGCCACGAAAAATGGCATAAAATGGCCGTTTTTCGAAGAAAAGTTGCCAAAATCGAAATATTCCATGTTTCGGAATTTGTGCGTCTGGATGCCACCAAAGTTCAAAAATTTATGCCACAATTTTCTTGAGAATCGGGTGTTATACCGATTTGGTCCAACTTTATTATATATGTTTGAGTTCACATTGAAGTGTTCACTTCAATCGGAATTCGAATAATTTTTCCAAAATTCAACTGGCATCCAGACAACTTTTTAGATACTTCTTCTCCTTTTCTTCATGGGATATGAGACTTTGGGAAATTTTTGCAGACTTGCCAAAACGGGTTATGGCATAATTTTATGGGGTGGCATCCAGACCAGGCATAATTGTAGCCAATCCGCGACAAGCAATTTCGCGGATTGCCCAATGGGAGGGTGAGCTGTTGGATTATGCGACCGAATCTTGTTCTACAGTATTCGCGTCCATCTCTTATTCATCCAACTAGTACTACTACTTCTAGTACTACTACTACGTCGTCCGTCCAGCAAAGCGTTGCCACCCCGGGGCACTCTCGCACAAGGCTTGGAGCAGCGCATGTCGTTTCTCTGCGTCGTCTAGTAGCCGGGCGAGGTCTGGCACAAGCCGAGCGACAAAATCTCCGTCGAACGTACCAATCAGGTACGCGTAAAACTCTTTGGCTGGCATCTGATGGTTGCCAAATTTGCGTGTGTTGGCTGTAAAGAGCTTGACTTGACCAGCATCGCCTTGAAACACGGCGTGAATCGATTCCAGGATCGCTCGCTGCAGCTGCCGCGCCTCATCCCCGACCACGGGCGTAATATCTTGGACACGCAGCACCACCTTCTTGTCTATGGGCACCACTCCATCCTTCTCGGCAGCAGTATTATTAGCATTAGCAATCGGGTCGGCAAAGAGGGGCACCGTCGTAGCCTCCCACGAGTCCTTGTGGGCGTCCACGGTAGCTTGCAGCTGCTGCCGCTTGGCAGGGTCGCTTAGCAACTTGGCGCAATTCGGCAAGATTTCCACAGCCACCTTGGCGCCATATTGAGTCACGATGAAGTCGCAGAATTGGGCGGCTGAGAGCTCGCCACTGCCGTACTTGCGGCTTTGCACTTTGAACATGTCGACCATCGACGGCGCGTCCACGTTCAGTTGCCGACACCGGTGATTCAGCGTCGAGATCACGCTGCCATACAACGCCTTGGCCGTCTCGGCCGACAATTTCTCGCGCAGCGCTTGTTCGCGTTGAGCTAGCGTGGAAAAATATATAAATATATATATATATATATATATATATTGGCATGAGGGGGGGTTGTACCGAGGATCGCCGCGTCACGCGCTTTCGCAGTCGAGTCCCATACTGTCGCGAGTTCTTTCGACTGGTTGGCTCGAAACGCTTTCTATACATGCCCCCATTGGACAATTAAAAAATGCAATAAAATAAAAGCACGCGCGCCAGCGTTTTATATATAGGTTGGACGATATATGTGGCTCAGTGTTGCACAAGTCATATATAATATTACAAGGCACATTATATATATATATCTTGCTTATATAACCACCAATGATACTAATGATACTAATGATACTACTACCCTCAATTCAGTTGTCAACGCGTCCAACAATGGTGAAAAATAACCATGCATCGCCCCCACCTTGTTCACGTAAAAATAAGGATTTTTTTTGCCATATTTTGGGGATGGATGAAATCGCCAACTAATCGAGCAAAGCAGTATGATTGGCTATAAAGAATGAAGGTTGCAATATGATTGGCTAATGGATTGATTGATGCATTATTGCAGTCTCAAATATACCTCTTCAACTTAGTTTTAAATGAAATTTCAAAGGTCCGGCGGTTGATTCAACCAATCAGAGGAAATTTTGAGTAGAACAAATCACAATACATCCGTTGATTTATATTCCAAGCCCCCGAATCACCGAAAACATTAATATACAAATAAAAAAACAATATAATATAATTCCATTCGCTCGGGACAACCAATCCTTTTTTTTGTCTTTTTGATTTTGAATCCCCGCCCGCACTATACCTTTAATTCAGTCGTAAACTCGTCCAAAATGGTGAAAAAATCCATCGCTCCAAACTTGCGTGCGTCTTCGCCAAATGACCCGACGAGGTCTGTGAACGCCGCCTCGACGGCGCCAAATTCCTTGGTCACGTCGTCCATCACATCGGCCGCTTCCTGCGCAAATGGCGCCATCTTGGCATAGAATTGATCGGCGGCGTCGGCGGTATTCTTGGACGCATGCACTTGGCCTTGGAGCATCGCGAGCTCGGAATTGCACACGTTGATGTCGGCTTTGATCTGGTCCAGCGACAGCCGCTTGGCTTCGGTCACGTGCGGCACTTCCGTTACAAACGCAATTAAATCGGGTTGGAACTGCTCGAGATGCCGTGCCAAGTAGTGCATCTACATATACGAATGATTTCATAGGCTTCTTTGGACAGGAATAAATATAATCAACCGCCGGACCTTTGAAATTTCATATAAAACTGAGTTGAAGAGGTATTTTTGTGACTGCAATGCATCAATCAATATTTTTAGCCAATCATATTGCAACCTTCATTCTTTGTAGCCAATCATACTCGTTTGCTCGATTAGTTGGCGATTTCATCCATCCCCCAAAATATGGCACATTTGGCTGAAAAGCACCATACAAACATAAAAAAATAACCCCTGAAAACGCAGATGATCGATCCTTCTATGCTGAATTATTATTGGATCTTGTTATAAAAAAAGAATATATAATCATAATAATTATATAAAAACAAATCATTGAATACCCATCATCGTCATCAATAGCTCCTGTATATATAGTACATCCAATCCAAAGAGCAGAGAATTCTATTTTCATCTATATAATATATATATATGTCGCTTGTGGAATAAAGCAATAATACGTCAAAATCCAAAAGCGGATCATTTTATTTTTTTATACATATGTACAGTCAAGATATACCTAATAACGTGATCATACAATCAATACACATCCTCGTCAGGGATAGTACTACTACTACTAGTAGTAATGGTACTAGTCGACATCGTACCAATGTCACTTTCGAGTCGATACCCCGCACTGTATGCAGTTTGGCTAGGGCGTCCAGCTTGAACCCGTACGCGCCGCCCCGGGCTGTGCCGCCGTTCATGTAATTCCCAATTGCCAGTACCTAACACCATCAAAAGTCTAGAATACATGTACGATAAAAACATGTACACTTTTAATACTAGCACACTAAAGTACAGTGTGTACTGGACAAAGAGTTTGATTCTTGTGGGAGTACCCATGGTTAACGTGGAATCGAGTTGAGCAAAAATAACAGCTCCTTTCTGATAAATAATGTATATTGCCTATATATCCCATTCCACCAACACAACGAGAATATATTTTTATATTTTCCTTATTTGGACTCTGCATGGGAGAATCAATTTGTGCCAAATGATTTCAAGCTGATTCAATGTACAAACAAGATCTCACTGTTGGTGATCGCTGATCGGTTAGAAAGATTTCTCAATTGTGTACTAGGATTGGGACATTCTCTCAAGTACTGTATACATTGGCTCAATGCATTCTACTGGCACGTCCGACCGAATTTGACCATATTACAAACAATAGAGCACCATACAAACCCCAAACTCGAGCGATATGGAGAATGAATCCACGCAACACTAAATAAAACATGCACAGACGAATTGACCCAATCAGAGAAAGCAGCAACTACCTCTAAATAGTGTGTCATGTGCCTTGAATTGTATGTCCAATCCATCACCCCAACACAACGTTTTACATACAAACTTTAGGACAAACAACACAATCGATTCATGACTTTATTTACCCACACGTACATATATATATATAAAACAAACATGAAGTATAATATATATATATATATATATAAAACATGAAGTATAATATATAAAATATATATAAAACAAACATGCAGTCTAATATATATATATAAAACAAATATATATAAAACAAACATAAAGTATAATATATACCGTTTCAAGTATCCGGCGAAACTTGGCCGAGTCGGCGATTTGGTCTGTGGCGGCGCTAAGGGTATCGACTTGGGCTTGGATTTCCAGTACTCGGTGTTCAAACTGGAGCGAAAACCGAAAGCACTTGATGCGCTGCGTGTATCGGGGTATGCTGAGCATCTCGAGGAAGAACTTTTCGACGGCGCCGAGCACATGGACGGGTCCGTCGTAGTTTTTCAGAATATCTTGCTCCTCTAGGGTTGGCGCGAGGGCGATAAGCGAGCTCAAGTGGTCGACGGAGATGGCAGTTTGGTCCATTGCAAGCAACCCGGCTTTGACGTCTGAGGGGCTGAGTTTGAACCGCGCCAGTGCAATCCCCACGTTTTGCTGGGTCTTGGAGTCCAGCAGTAGCACGACCGCACTGTCTTTTTTCTTTTTCTCGTTCGAGTCCTTATCGACTGTTGAAGCAGGGTTTGCTTTGCGGAACATCCACTCCAAATCAAATGGTTCCAGGGATACGCTCGTGTCCGAGAGCGAGCTCCATACAGTTGACTGCACCACATTCACAGGAATACGCGTCCAGAACAACGCACGCATGTCCACATTCGGCTTGACGCTGTCCTTCTTTGGTAGCGCGGCAGAGGTAGTTTCGTCTAGAAATACAAAAATATCATATATATTGTCCATTTGATATACACATTTGGGGAGGAATCGCGCCGACGAAACCGATCTGATTGGTTGAATTTCATTGAAAATGTTTGGATTGGCTAATAATTTTGTGAGCTCATCTGAAGTAGCCAATCAAATCGATTTAAATTCCAACGAGAAACCACGAAATTTCACTCGAAAGCACAATATATTGTCGATTTGATATACACATTTGGGGACGAATCGCGCCGACCAAACCGATCCACAATCGATCTGATTGGTTGTTGAATTTCATTGAGAAGGTTTGGATTGGCTAATAATTTTGTGAGCTCATCTGAAGTAGCCAATCAAATCGATTTATATTCCAACGAGAAACCACGAAATTTCACAATATTGTGAATTCACTATACACAACTTTCAAAATTCAAAACGTTTGAATCACGAATCACGCTCGAGTTGTGAGGATTAATTCAAAATAAACGTGTCCATTCTGTAAGATGAGCCAATCAAATCCACTCCAAATTGCATTTTCAGCCAATAGCGTCGTCGATTCGTGATTCGGTGGCGAGAGATTCGATTGATTCGACGGGGTCTGGAAAGTTGTACCGAATCATCCACAATATATATATATATAAATATATATCATGCCCTAAAGTATATTGTTGTCCAGTCGATTCAACTTTGAATGATTCCATCGAACACCGAGCAACACTCAAGTACCACCACATCGACAGACAATCGATTGACCAAACCCACAATCAACACGAATCATTTTGGCCAATCATAGTAGTCTCGCTTCAAAATCAGTGTATCACTTCAAATAGTGTGAATGGCGTCGCAAGTAGTAAGTAGTAGTAGTAGTACATACAGTAGTAGTAGTAGTAGTACATACAAACTTCAGGACAACCCATCGAACCGATGGATTTGGGGCAACATCATCCCCCAACTTTTGACTCAATACATCTGTGCGATATAGTACTAGTAAATTGCGCTATTTTTGAACTACATTCGATTTCGATGCGACTTTGGCCAAAAATACACACACATGGAATATACATGAATGTAGCCAATCCGTGACAAGAGAATGCGCCATTTTGAACCAATCCAGGGATCGATCGGAGTACCTCTCATACCTGCTTTTTTCATCGACGACGTCTTCTTGAGCAGTTGGTTCAGGTCGAGCTTGGCGGCAGGTCCTCCATTGCTATTGCTATTGCTATTGTTGGGTGTTGTATATCCGCCATCGAGCAAGGCAGGGTTGAGGCCTTCGGCTTGCATTTTCAACTGCACTTGAGCCAGAGGCATGCCCATTTTGAGTAATTTTTTGTACTTGGCGATTTCCGGCGGGTCTTCGGGGGTCGGAGCGGACGCAAGGGGCGGTGGTGGATTGTCCAATTTAGATGGATCGAATCCATCCGCCGACGCTTTCAACTTGACTTGTTCTAGCGGCATCCCCATCTTGAGTAGTTTAAAATACTTGACGTATTCTGGGGGAACCTATCGAAACAGAAAAAATGATAGGAATATTTATAGTTGTAGCTCAAAATTCAACTGCTGCAATAAAAATACTACTACATTTCTCCACGCATGATTTTGTTTCATGTCTTCTTCTTCTAGAAGGTATTTTTAATAATATTTTTTAAATACAGTTTATTTGATCGTGGCCCATAGGAAATGGCACTACCGTATTTGTCGTTGAAATGTACCATGAAATACAAAACGCGAATATAATTCTATAATTAAATACAATCTTGAATCAAGTATACAATTCGAATATTTAAATAAATTCTTCAGATTTAATCCCAAGGTACGACACATACGGTAGTATGCTAAACACATGCAAGTCAAATGTAAAGAAAACAAGGCAAAAACACGTGAACACTGATTAGTTCAGCATGATAATTTTTTATAAACGCTCTGAATAAATAGGAGGTAGATAAAAATAATACATTTGCAAAGGAGACAAAGTAGTCGGCAAAAAAAACCTCACAATAAGTATAGTATTTTGCTATGCAGTCTTCAAAAGTCGAGCGAATCCAATCGAATGGACACCACGAGGTAGCCAATCAGGAGGTACAAACAAGTTCGCGTCAGCCAATAAACGTGTCGTTCGTTACGAGTTGTGGCTTAAAGGAACAAGGATATATACATACATATTCAATGCACTTAGTAACGAATCGAGATAACCAGAAATAAACCAAGAATGGGCAACAGGATGGAGCCAATCAGATAGTAACCTTCATCCACATTTAATTCGTGTATGACTTCAAATTAGTGTGATTCCATTCACCACAGATACATACACTATATTTAGGTTTCTTTGGACGACGTGATGCATCATCGGTACACAACCAAATAAATGGACAGAAGAATCGACAGAAAAAGGAATGAGCGAATCCGATTCCAGGAAATCATCCGTTCAACCAATCAACAACGAATTCATGGGTGACTTCAATTCTTTGTGTGATATATATATATATATATATATATATATATATATTATAATATGGGCCTCCCCACAATATACAACAAATCTCGATCTTTCATCGAGTAGTTAATAGTAGTCAAACGTACCTCTGGAGCTGTGGGGGAGATTGCAGCTCCAGCTCCTTGGTCGTCGGCCAACTTTCCACTGGGGGCGTCCGGCGTGTCCAGGAGATTCGGGTCGACGCCAGCTAGCTGCATTTTCATTTTCACTTGGTCGGGGGGGAGCCCCATGGACAGCAGTTTGAAATACTTGGCGACTTCGGGCATTTCTTTGATCTTGTTTACTGGGGATTGTGATGACGTGGCAACCTGTTGCTGCAACGAAGCTATCACCTGCGCCTGTTCTTCGGTTACGGCTACCGCCTTGGCTTCCATGCGACTTAACTTTCGCTGCAATTTGTCCACCATGTCCTGCAGCCGTTGGTTCTCAAGTTTCAACGCAGCGTCGTTGTCCTACATAATTTGTTTTTAATAATATATATATATATACATAATTTAAAATACATCTCGTCATAGTAGTTTTAATAAAAGGACCTACATTTTTTTATCTTCTACTCCTCTTTTATTTTGAAAATACAAAATAAATCGCCAATCGAGTTCTCAATCGTAAAAATATAATCGTAAAAATATCTCCCAATCGTAAAAATATTCCCAATCGTAAAAATATTCCCAATCGTAAAAATATTCCCAATCGTAAAAATATTTCTCGATCGCAAAGATATCTCTCCATCGTAAAAAGATTTTTCAATCGTAAACATATTTCTCGATCGTAAGACATATTTCCCAATCGAAAAAATATTTTTCGATCGTAAAAAACTTTAAACATATTTCTCGATCGTAACACGATATCTCAATATTCCTCGTTTGCAGAAAAGGGAGTGGTTCGTGGTAATGCTATGAACAAAAATATACGGATAATTTATTCAGAAATCAATATCCACCAAGTCATACTCAAATGCCAACTAGACTTCGTAGTGGGAATGTATGGAGATTCCATTGCAAGAAGCAGTCGGAACGACTCACACGATTTGATAAGTCACTCGAATAATATTTTTTCACTGCACTTTCCCCAACGTTCAAATCATAAAATATCAAAACATCACTGATAATATTCCAAACCGAGGATATGGGTTTGTGTCAATCGGAAGGCAAGTAGTAATACTAAACCACACTATTTAATGGTCACGCCCTTCCACTACTTTCAAGCCACACAAAGTTATGCACCTACTAGACAACGAGGACTAACACTATTTGTGGGTCATTCACCCGACGTTGAATCATCACACGACGCATACATTAATAAACAAACAACCCCACAACGGACCACACACTATTTCATGACGAAAAACCAAACAAAGATGAAACGACTAGTGTACCGGAGATGATGACGAAGGCGGCGGCGGGGAGATGGATGGGATGGCGTTGATCGCGGCATCCTCTGTGACGACGGGCAGGAGCGCGGGGTCTGGCGCCACCAGCGTCGACATGCGAAGGAGGTCGTCGGCGCTGGACTCGCGCGACGTGGACGTCTGGCCGGCGCCGCACTCGATGCAGAACTTGACGTGAGGCGGCAACTCGTACCCGCACTCGATGCAAAACTTCATCGCCTTGGGCATGGACTCCATGCGACTCAACATGGGCGGCGCGGCTTGGGATAAGCGGCGCATGATTTTGCGGCCGCCGCCGTCCTGGACGTCCAACTGCGGGTTCTCGTCCAGGCACGGAATGCAGTACCATTGCGGCTTGGTTGATAGCGATGACGACGAGTCCACGGCTTTGCGAGAACAGTCTTTGCAGATCGCGACGTGACATCCGCGGCAATGGTGGCGACGTCGGATCAACGTGAACGCTTTCTTGCACCCGCCGCACTCGGGTTCCCGTCCAAACTCGACCGTCGTGAGGTTGTCCATTTCCCGGGTGTGCTTGCGCCACCGACACGTGTCGAGTGGTTGCTCGGAGCGTACTCGAGTTCCCATATGCTTGAAGCTCTTTCCGTAGCTCCAGTCGCCAATGATCCACGTCGACCCTTCTTGGAATCGAAACCCCGTCGGCGGCCGCGCCACCTCCAACGACACCACGTCCTTACCCATCAATCCCTTCTCAGGTGCTTCCGAGAAGTTGCCGCCTTCACCCGCAAGCAGCTCATTACTCCATCCCTGGACGTTCCGCCGCTGCTTTTCAAACACTTCGTACGTTGACCGAGCCGTCATGCCGGCCGCTGGAGGCGATATTTTGGTTTGGTAACAAGCTGAAAGGGATTACATATCTGGATAAATATCCGGATACGCAACGGTCTGAAATGCCATACATGTTGGAAACGTGTTTGAAACGCCGCCACCTTAAATAAGGTTACTATTATTAATAATAGTAACTATTATTAATAATAGCACTAAGTCTATTCCGAAACATTTGGCAGGTACGACTTTTCTTGTTGTATATTTGAATACTTGTTGCATCTGATTGAAGCGTGAGATCTCATCATTGATTGGCAAGTTGAACTGCTTCAGAATTACTCCTTGTTCCCGAGATAATGACGTATAATACTGAACCAATCACTGAGCTCCAAATTGGAATAGCACCAATCAAAGTATGGTGCAAGAAGCCTAGTAGTGTGCCTCAATCACGAATTATGGCCATTCTCCGAAAAATATAAAAAGTTCTATTACAACAATGGGCCTACTACGTGTTAAGCGTGATTTGATCAACGCTGGAAATAGAAAGATGCAGAAAGCACACTACTGTAACGTTAGTAGTGTACAGTTAGTTACACCTATATAGTCCGGAGTATTGCAACGTTAACTTGGTACTATTAACAGTACTATGATGCACGTCATCTAAAAACTTCCAACTGGCCAATTCGAAGAGTGGATGTTTTATTATTTAACGTACAATTAATGTAGTTAAACCCAAAAACCAAAACGTTAAATACCGAATTATGCGTTTTATCACTGCAGTGGAAGGTTAAAGGTCCCAACTGCCTCCGGATATTACATACGGATAAGAGGCCCATACAAAACTCAAGATACATCTCAGAGGCCACCCCTATGGCCAAATATCCATGCGCATGTAAAATACCACTAGGTTAAATATCTATTTCTGGACCAATTCATCACCAAATTTGAATCTGAGACGTAGAATTCCTTCACCACATTGAGATCTACGTCTCAATTTGCTGAAATTTTGAGTAATAATATGAAATAGAAGTCAGAAAATTTTGTGAAAATTTGGTAGTTTATAGGTGACGAGCATCATACGTATTATTAATAATAGTACGGAATACGGACTGGTATAAATAAATACTCCAATGTTAACGCTATTATTATTAATACAAATTGATCGGAATAAAACACATTCAATTGAAACGAACGTTTGTTTGAAACAGACTCCCATGTGTGAAACTGGCAAGTGTCCACAAATTTAGAAAAACGGCGCGTCGAGCCCGAGTGCGGATGCCGCCGCACGTCCGCCAACGCCCCCGACGGAGAACTCTAGATCTGCATGACGTGCCTGGACCTTCCTTTCAATGAACGGCTGTGGAAGTGGCTCTGTCCAGAAGTACGCATGTTTCAAGGCCTATATCTGTTCGTGTGAGTTGAACTGTTGGGGAAACAAGCAGCCCGACCTCGGCTGCCTCGAGACGTTTGGACGGATCGTAAACCAGCAAGCACTTGAGCAGGTCCAATGCTGACTCCTCCACGTCTGGGAAGAGCGACGCGAGCGGCAACGGGTTGAACGCGGGGAACGAGACCTTGTGGTAGTCTGGGAGCGCTGCCATGCCTGGCCAGGTCGGGGACCCCAGCACTTGCATGACACGAAATATCTGGTCGATGTCGTTCAATCCAGGGAAGAGCGGCGCGTGCTGCAGGAGTTCCGCAAAGACGACGCCGACAGCCCACATGTCCACTTTGTGGTCGTACGAACGGGACCCAAACAAGAGCTCCGGCGCGCGGTACCATCTCGTGGCTACTTGATGGGCATACTCCCGCGCCGGGCCGGTGTACACTGTTGCGAGTCCAAAGTCGCTCAACTTGAGCACACCATGTCGATCCATGAGAAGATTTGATGGCTTGATGTCCTAGAAAAGTAATGACACATACACCTGTTGTCGGACGAAAAGGTTTGAATTACGCGGTGGAGGATGTGGCGACCATGACAGCACTCGACACCTTGGAGAAGCATGAACATGAGGGACTTTATATCTTGTGTCGACAAAGCTGCGGTCGAGTGCGCTAGAAGCTACGGAGAGATGTGAGAATATGTGGAAATATAGGACACCCACATGCGACAGGTCCGTCTCCATGTACTCGAGGACGAGGCCGACGCTGGCCCCTTCCGGGACGACATCCACCAAATGCACAATCTACGAACGTGTGTCATATTGCGATACGTAGTTGTCGTAGCTCACATTGGGGTGATCAAGATGATACATGGCTTGGATTTCATTGAAGGCCGCCGCGGGAATCGTGTCCATCTTGGACGCGTCTGTTCCCGTGCGGATGCGCTTCAGAGCGAGCACCTGCCCAGTGGCAATCTCACGGATTCGATACACTTCACCAAAGTTTCCGTGGCCTAGTCGTTCCAGGAGCTCGTACTTGTCGTCAAAGCCGCGGCGGCGCGGACTTTCCATCGAGTCGCTTGAAGATCGCATTGGAGTTTAACGTGCGATGACAAAAGGTTATATTATTCTTGCATCGAGATGCAATTTAATATATTGAATGGTAATTTCAGTTTACACTTTTCATGAAATCTTCACATTATTATAAATTAGGACAACTACTGGTATGAATTATTGAAAAAACACTGTCATAATTTGCCATGGACCATAGATTTAACGCTGTTTAACGTATATTCACGCATTTAGGTTTAATCTCACTATTCATTTGCAGCATGGGATTCGACGACTCATGTTCCGCAACAACGACGACGACGCGAGTCCTGGACATCCAAAGTGATTGGCAGACGACGGAAGATGATTCCTTCTGGGTGAGTTCCTCGGACCGTGTAGTGCTCACGTACCCCGATCCTATTGCTGGCGCCCACGTCCTTGCCCACGGATCCACACCCACGTCCATGCACACTGTCCACAAAGCCGACGCGTCCACGGCTGGAATTCCGTCGTCGACGTACCATATTGCCGACCAGTCTCGATACAGCTTGACCGTTGCGACGGATTCGTACTCGATGTCGTTTTTCACGCCGCACACGCAAACCCCGTTGCAAGCCCAGGTTGGTAGGTGTATCTGTGTTGCATGATGCTTCCTCCTAGTTTTCATCACAATACTGCACTCGATGGTAGCTGTATGCAGTCTCCACGAGTCCGAACGGGGCCTTTCTCGGTGTCGGAGGTGCCGATGGTCTCTTCCACGTCCTCCAAGTCCCCACCCACACGAGTCTGCAACTCGCGGGCCATGTGTCCGACGTCACGCACGTCGAGTTCTTTCCCAGTTCCCTCGTCGCGCTCACGGGGAGTGCCGACTTTTCGCTGCGCATTTGGTCCGTTCAAACGTTCACCTGTGGGGCCGTGCTACGGGGCCATAAAGGGGCCATCTCCGGCATCGGCATACTCGGCCGCGGCCGCAACGTTGTCTGTACGTCATTCTCTTGATATGTCATGACGCTTCTTTGTAGCATGCGCCCAAGACCGCTTCGTCAAGCTGTGGCATTGCGGGTCGAGCCACTGCTACCGCGACTGGCACCTGCCGTCGACGCCGCGGTGCCTCGTGTCCTCCGCCAGTCATCATGATGATCATGATCAGGGTAGAACGTTGGCAGAAGCACCCGACATGGAATTTGAAACGTCCTCGACGTGGTTGATTGTGGGCACGGACGCGGGGGTCACCGCCCTCGATGCCCGCGTTGCGAGTCCAGTACGTTTATATGGATTTTTGGCTATATCGGGATGACTTGTTTATATATATATAACCATTCTGGGTGATATATACTACATTGTATACATGCAACATATATTTAAATATATATTTGATATATGTATATATATATGTTGCATGTATACAATGTAGTATATATCACCCAGAATGGTACTACGTAGAATACAGTACTATTGTCAAATCCGTTAAGTAGTAGCCGCAAATGTCAATGTCCTCGCGACCAATCAAATTACACGATTGAGATAGTTGAACCAATCAACGATCATCATATTACGTGGGGTTCCAACCAAAACGTATACAATTCATGGAATAATTTTCAAATCGGACCCAAACGATTTTCTCGAATCACGTGTCCAAATATGAGCGAAATGGACTATATATATATATATATAGATGGATTCCACTGTACATGTACATAGGTATTGGAACTTGGACATGCCGCGGCGGTGACTGCATGTGCCACAACCCATGGGTCTGCTATCCCGATGCTTGTCACTGGCACTGAAGACGGTGTGTTATCTACCTACGACCTCCGCCAACCAAAGTACGTCAAAGAAATGCCCAGTTGCGCTTGCTTGGTCATATCTTGTTGACGTGGGGGAATCACAGGGGGCCCATCCACATGATGTCGCGCAGCGGGGCCGGTGTCCGCGCGATTGAAATGGTGGACAAAGCGGCGTGGGTGGCAACGGCAGACGGCAGCTGCTCGCGGTGGAGTGGGCTGGCGATGGGGCAAACTCCAACGGTGACAGGCGAGTTGGTTGGCCCAACCTACGACGCTGTGAATGGCGTGAGTGTCTCGTCGAACGGAACTATCTCGAGCGTGTCCAGAGACGGCGTGCTGCGGATGTATGAGAGTCCGACTAGCTAATCAAAACGGAATAGCACCATGTTGTTTTGAAGAATATGACTGCAACAGGGGCGGTTGAAGTGGTGAATGGTAAAATATATGAGAAGGCTCGCTATTGGCTAAAACTCCAATTTGGAGTGGATTTGATTGGCTATTATAGAAAGATGACAAGTAGTATATTCAACCAATCAGAATTGATTCAACCGCGCGCGCTGGAGTTGTTATTGGTTGAATATAACTATTGGTAATTCGATTTCAAAATGGACTGGGGCTGCCAATCGAATCGACGAAGTAAAATCAACTCAGTAATTGACGGACCGAAGTTAGCCAATGAAATTTTAGACCTTTCTACCAATCAAATTGCAGGTGGGGGGATTCTGTCCATTGCCAAGCTTTCTCCATTTCACAAAGAGTTCAACATTGCATCGGAGAGACTGGGAGTATATTTATTTCAAGTAAAATGACGTCTCGACGATTTCAGGTGGATTTGACGTCAATCTTCGAATCTACCGAAAATACCAAATTTAGCTTGAAAGCACAATACAGTACTACTTTCTCTTCTTCTAAGAGAGCCAATCAAATCTACTCAAAATTAGAATTTTAGCCAGTAGCGTCGATTCGTGATTCGATTCGGCGGCGAGATTCGATTCAACGGCGTCAGGAGATTTGTACTGAATCCACAATAACACAATACATACAGTACCCTTGGCCTTGTGTCGTTATTGATTGTCAAGTCGATTTGAAAAAAATGGAGTGGGGGACTGAATCGAATGAGTATTAATACTGTAGCACCAAATCGGCAGACAATCGATATACGACCAATCAAAACTTGCAACATTTTAGAAGTAGCCAATCAACTCTGGCATCCACCATTCCAAGTCGATTTAGTGAAAGACTGAAAGTAGTGTGCAGGGCGTCGCTTTTTGCTTGCAACATTCACAGTCAGTGCAAGAAATCGATGGATGGATTTGGTGCAGCACTCCATTCGTTTGGCTGAAAGCACCGTACTCCGTACCACCAGTAGAAGTAGTAGAAGTACATTTCAAAGATTACTATGTACTATAAATAGTAGAGACGAGTAAGCTGTATTCCAACGACTACGTCTCGTTCAAGTGAACATAAATTGGCCATCCATGTTACTTCGAAGTAGTAAAAGTACGATTACTCCGGCGTACTAGCCAAAATTGAGCGACAACGATAGATATTTCGAGTGAGCTAATTTAACGAACCTTATCCTGGGTCGAACGGGCACGACAGAAAAGGATGCCCGAGGGAAGAACAACGACGCTTCCACAGCGCCTTGCCGTCCTCTTAGCAGCCAAGGACAAGACGTCGGCACCGTTGCTGGTATCGCCAGCCAATCTAGAATACCTATCCTTCTAACGACTGTAGGCTCTGCTCCAGCACGTACACGACGGTGTGCAGGAGGTGGTGATGGTGCAGCCCTTGGATCCGTTTCGATACATGGCTGCGTACTTGCAGCACACTGTACACACACAATCTCATGACAATCGTGGCTTACTGTAGCAACGATTTTGACTAGATGTCGCTGGACGTGGAGCTCGAAGAAGTTGCTCTGACCAAGGAACTCCATCGCAAGCAAATCGCGCTAGGGAAGCTGCGCTTGCAGGTGGCCCATCTTCGCCATATCCGGCTCGCGAGTCTACGCGACTGTTTGGTCTGCGAAGCCGACCTTTGTGTGGACGCCACCGACTCAGTCGTGACCCCCGACGACCACACGTTTCTCCTGCCAGAGCCGCAGAAAACTCAAGTCGATTGGTGTCCGCCCACGTTGCCCTTGTCAGTCAACGAAGACGCCTCCACGTCCGTCCATTTTGCAGCCATGGCCAGCGCCAACACTCAAGCAGTTCTCGAGGTAGAGATTGCGGTGGTCGGCGATATTTTTTAGTGTTGATAGTGTTGCTAGTTTTTCCTGCCAGAGTGCTTGGATGCAGTGGTTCAACTTGGCGTACGTCCCTACTAAAGCAGGACATCGAAATTGTACACTTACTAAACCATATGGGATAGAATGCCAACCCGCCAGACCCATTGCACTGGCTTGTCCACCACTTTTACGCCAAGGTCGACGCTATTACATATCCTTGCAATGAGTTCTTTTCTAACTAAAGTCTGAATACGATATGCCTAGTCCACAGCAACCCAATATCAACTGGCTGCACTCAAGGCCACGTTGGGCAGCTATCGATGGTACCTCGACCAAGTTCGAGACGCAGTCCCCGTAGCCGAGGCTAACACCCACGCCGCCACATCAAAACAAGTACTTTATGCACTAACTTTTACCAGAATTGTTCATTTCACCCAAATTTGGCCTTGTGAGTCATTTCGCCAAATCCATTAAAATCCATTTTAATCTTGTACAACCTATACTATACAACGATTAGTACATAAATGGTTTTGCCCAATGCAGAGGGACAGAGTCGAGTGAAACGTTTGGATTGGCTGTAATTTACCCCAGAACGTGATTTGATAGGCTTAGGAGGTTCTTTAATCCATGCTCTTAATCGATTTGAGAATACTATTACTACGTAGTACACATACTGATTACTACTCGAACCTACTGCGATGGTGGTAGGTATCGCTACGAGCGCAACTAGCGGAACGCAATCGACTTGTGCTGCATTTGAGTGTGACTCATATGGTTCGTCGAAGCGACATCAATATGAAAGGTCTCCTGATATATATATAATATATATATATACTTCGAAGCATGTATTATGGCGGTCTGAACGTATACTTTCGGTAGGTCGACAAGTGCTGGTGGATCGTGAAAAACTCTGGATTCCCCTCGACTGTATTGAGCCCATCCATCGGTTCACACCCTGTCCGTCGATATATATATATATATATATTTCACACGAGTCGAGCCTCTGTATTCATACATGTGTTTTATGTTTCTGTCGTAGTTCAATTGCAAGCGCTACACCGTGCGGAAACCCTGTTGATGCTAGCGGACGAAGTCTCATACAAGGCCAAACTCCAGTTTGACCTGGAATATCGCAGCGCCACCATGATCCAAGCCATGTACAAGTGCCACGTATTGTATCATATCCACAAGACCGTCATGGCCGGTCGGCATGCCGCCGCCGCGCACATCCAGCGCATTTACGAGCGGTACTTATACTCCAAAGCCATCCGGTTGCCGGCATGGTGTGTGCTGGGCCAACAAGTGATGGTCGCTATGCCCATCGCCCGGCGAGCAGGTACTACATTCAGTCTATATAAATATATATATCTACTGCACTCATCGTCGTATATATATATTTTATATATATATCTACTCTTCGCCGTGTATATATATATAATAATATATACACTACTGGGTTCTACGACTAACAGTAAATAGTATCACGTTCCACAAGCGTGAATTGGTTGTGTGTTTCTTACTGTTCATATGTCTTGGTTGTATGTTCAATGGTACTGTATATGGTTATATATATATATTCACATTGGAAATCACATCTATGGTCGATTTCAAGATCGATGTGTATACATAATGTATATGTACTAGTATATATATAAACAGGTGACGTTCCTTCCTCTATCGAATCATATGGTTGGTGGTTTATACCTTAGTATTGTATGTCGAGAAAAACAACTGGCAACAACCGCCAGCACTGATCGAACTCGGGACTATTAATGGTTACGATGTAGCGATTTGGTTTCAGTTTTACGCGGGTAAGGACTTTTCTTCTGGGAATTTCTCGACGGTGCCAGCAGCCCCCCTCAACGTCCTCGAGCACCGATGTCGGCAAGATGACAAGTGCGCTGCATTCGCCTCGGACGGATCCCTCAAACGCTTTGTGCCGCGGCAGCTGTCGCAGCTGCATGCACTCAACCCGCCCGACGGCAGACCTCTGGACATGCGCGTGGATGGGTTGTACATTAAGCGTATTCCTCGTACGTATATACGTAGTGCTTACGTGTGTATACATATATAATATATAGTGCTTTCAGCCAAAATTTGCACATTTTTTTGTGTTGATTTCTCAAATCCATCAATGTATTTTTTTTGTACAGAATTATGTACGTCAAAAATGTCCAGTGTCACGCCAAGATAAGTATATATATACAGGCACTCGCATATATCAAAAAAAGGTGGAAGTATTATTGGTTCCGTTTGGTGTTATCATGGTTCGTTCATCCATGGTAGACCACGTTTGTGAAAAAAGTAGTATTATCGTGTGAAAATGTTTATTTTATTCGATTATAATATACATATTTAAATATTTTCACACGATTACTTTCGTTCATCACTATATATATATATATATATAGTATATATAGTGATATATATATATATAGTATATAGTATATATAGTGATCAACGAAAGTATATATAATATATATATGTAATCATCGACTGGAAGGATATATGTATATATATAGTCATATATTGGATGACGTAGGAGACGACAGCGAAGTGACGACTCATGCAATTGTGACGAGGATTCCCGTCGACAAGTTTGGCCCTGTCCAAGTAGTGTTTGATGGCACGGGGGTAATAGAAGACGTCCCTGTGCACAAGCTGTCGGTGCGGTGGACACACGCGTATGATATGAGCGCTGACACGTGGCACTTTGTGGATGCCGTAACCCAAATCAAGGCCCCGGTCGCCCCCGAGGTATGGAATACGTAAGAGTTTCATTGCTTTTCTCATGTAGTGTTGTTTTGAAGCCGTTTGGAGATGCCGACAGTCGTCAACGGGAGATTGACGGTCGAAAGAGGTCGTACGCGATGGAGCGGGATGCTGACTACATGGCCAAGAAACTTCAAAGTGCCATCACGCTGCAATGTGCCTATCGCAACCGAAGTACGTCGACTCCATGGATTATGTATATACGGTGTCTGACGGATGGCGGTGGTGATGGTAGAAGCCCGTCAGTTGTTCCGGTTCATGGTCGCGCTCCGTGAAAAGGAAAAGTTGCATGCTGCCAAGGTCGATCAAGTCGCCCTCGACGTGGCGAAAAAAAGGCACAAAAATAAGCAACGCCGGTGGTGGTTTGGCCGGAAATAACTTTTTTATTGTGAAAAAGTTGTTTTTTCGTCAAATGCAGGGCACATTTATAACAATGGCCACGTCCCCGATTGTTATATAAGGGTCAAAGCAAAGGAAGCGTCACAGTAGAGGATTACAGCAGGCAACGGATTTTAAGGGACACTTGCTACTTTGGATTTGCCAATTCATCGGAAATGATTGGTTGAATACCTTCGAACTTCGATGGATATCTCAATCTTTAGCCAATCACAAAATGACTTTCACAAATTCAAATCTTATTGGCTATAATATTCTGTGCTTCCATAAAACGGTGTCATACAAATTCTAAAACAACAAAAATATAAAAAGAAGTATTCTCTAAATTTGAATGAAAATATCAATAAAATTAATAGCAAATTTATATATAAATTGTACTTAAAAAACACTTTATTTAGTTTAACAAATGAAAAAGGGCAATTATATAAACAATGGTCTAGTAAATCTTAAAAAACAAATTTAAAAAGAAATACAACATATAATATACATTTTATTACGTACGTAGTAATAAAATAAGAAAATATCATATTTTAAATAAAGTAGGATTCTTTTTTTTATTAAAAGTAGAGTAGCAAGTCGTTATAATTTTAATAGAAACTTTAAAATGGATTGAACTGTAAATTACCTTTAAATGGCTGCCCCACAAATATGTATACTGGCTGCCCTACGGCATCCATAAGAGCGTGGTCTCCGAAGAATTCTTATGGAAATATGTATTTTACTGGCTACCCTACTCTATTTGACAACGATCCCCTAATAAAGGATCCTACTATCCCTAAGGGTGACTTGGAGCTCGGGTTGCAAATTTGGTTTGTAACAATTTGCGCGTCCCAAAATCGCTGGTTTACAGTAACTTTACATGCAGGAACAGCAGCATCTACACATGGACAGGATTCCAACTTTGGCGGCAAATTCGCTGTCGAAGTACTCATTTCGTCTAATGAAAATGCGCCAACAATGCACATCTTTCAACCGCACGACAATGGCGTACAACCGCACGACGAATGGTGGCCTGCTGCACATAATGGAGACTAACGGCTTACCGATCATGAGACCATGAGCCGACCTCTAAAAAGGCTCATAAGCGCCATACACAGCACGCACCCACACCAACAGCTCCTGCGACTACACGCTCAGGATGACCACGTTTCAGTCTGACAACAGATCTCGGCTTGATCCAGGTAACAAAGTCTGGTTCTTCGCGACCGCATATTTCTCAAATTCATTGAATGGCGACAAGAGCTGGTCAAATCCTAACCATATTTTTCCTCGACAAAAATGGTGTTGGCTATACTTTCTACCTTTTGCGTCGTTTTCACTACTTTATGAACTACTAACAGTTAATTGCGATCCATTTAGCGATGTTACACGTTGAACGGATTGGAGCCGTAGTATTGTGCAAAGAGCAGCGGTTGAGCACACGGGTAATCATCGACATGGCATTCATAGCCGGTGTGATGACAGACGCAACGATCGTTGTTGTCAGCACGATTTCAGTTTATGTAGCTGCCAGTTTTCAAAAAAAAGTATGTATTAACAGTAATCACAACATCTAACACACGACTTAGGAACCTGTGCCTGTAGTCGTGCGCAAAAATTTCGTCGTCGATGGACGTGGTCGAATTGATTTAGTCGTACAAGGCTTCACAGTCGTTTTACAAGGAGCCTTGGTGGTGCAAGGGGGCTTGGTGGAGCAAGGCGCCTTGGTGGTGCAAGGAGCCTTGGTGGTGCAAGGAGCCTTGGTGGTGCAAGGGGACTTGGTGGTGCAAGGAGCCTTGGTGGTGCAAGGAGCCTTGGTAGTGATACTAGGTGCCTTTGTGGTGATGCTAGGAGCCTTGGTGGTGATACTGGGAGCCTTGGTGGTGATACTGGGAGCCTTGGTGGTGATACTGGGAACCTTGGTGGTGCAAGGAGCCTTGGTAGTGATGCTAGGAGCCTTGGAGGTGACGCTAGGAGCCTGGGTGGTCATACTAGGAGCCTTGGTCGTGGTGCAAGGAGCCTTGGTAGTGATACTGGGAGCCTTGGTGGTGCAAGGAGTCTTGGTAGTGATACTAGGTGCCTTTGTGGTGATACTGGGAGCCTTGGTGGTGATACTGGGAACCTTGGTCGTGGTGCAAGGAGCCTTGGTAGTGATACTGGGAGCCTTGGTGGTGCAAGGAGTCTTGGTAGTGATACTAGGTGCCTTTGTGGTGATACTGGGAGCCTTGGTGGTGATACTGGGAACCTTGGTGGTGCAAGGAGCCTTGGTAGTGATGCTAGGAGCCTTGGTGGTGACGCTAGGAGCCTGGGTGGTCATACTAGGAGCATTGGTAGTGATACTAGGAGCCTTTGTGGTGATGATAGGAGCCTTGGTGGTGCTAGGTGCAGCCGTGGTGGTACTGGGTGCCGCCACGGTGGTGCTGGGTGCATCGGTGGTAGTCATAGGAGCAGCCGTGGTGGTAGCAGGCGTATTGGTCGTAGTGCCAGGTGCAGCCGTGGTAGTGGTGCTAGGTGCAGACGTGGTGGTAGCAGGCGTATTGGTCGTAGTGCCAGGTGCAGC